CTGTAAGACTTGGATGTGTCCAAAAAGCAGCTCGCTTTGGCTGGAGTATTGGGAAGTGTGCTGATGTATATTAAAGGCAGTAAAATACAAATCTGTAACAAGCCAGAAGTCTGATTAGAAAAGTTTGCTTGCTATTCCGGAAAGGCTTGGTTTCTTATATTACAATATAATTTAAAAATAGCCTAAACAATGGAAGGGTAGATGCTGCCACGCTGACAAGGTTTAAGCATGTGCCACTTTTGTTGGGAGGAGCAGGGTATAAAGGTATACATGTAGGACATGTAGTATAGTTAACAGTAAAAGAGTTAATGCGTGGTTTTCCTTCCATTATATTTATTATTTTGTAGAGATGTTTGTGTGTTAGACTTCTTTTACTGTTTATTATTATATTTATGTATAAAACAGGTTGACTTTGCTTTTTTAAAATAAATAAGCAAAAAAAAGTCTATGAATGCCTCTGTCATCTTTTGAAGGAAGTTACCTATAAACATTTGTTGGGGTATTTTGCTTTCTTGAGTAAAACTCCTTAGACCGAACAATTTGATGCAGGCTGTAGCCATGGTTTGACATGAAAAGCACATTGAAAACTTCAGAGAACTTAAAGCAATGCATCCTGATTTTAGAAATGAGTCAAGATACTAATTACCTTGCTAGGTGCTGTCAAAAACTGGCTGGGGAAATAAACACACTTAAAGATAAGTTGTATTGCAAAAGATCTTTGTAATTTTATTTATTTATTTATTTTGTGTTTTCACTTTTTAAATTTGTTTTAAAATTAAACCTCATTCTTCTCCCCACGAGTGGTTGGTACTTGACTGGGATTCTTCTTATTGACAGCTGTTTAGAGCCTTTAGCTCCCTCTACTAGTTGGGGTCTTTGCAGCAACATTGTTTTTAAAAACTGGTGCTAGTCAGTTTAACATCAGTGAGTCTACATTAATTGTAGACTACATTTCTCACTGAGTTCAGTGTGCAGCAGTCAAAGCTCAACACTGTAACTACTGCCGTGTTTCTGAAATTCAGAATGCTTTAATTCTTCCCAAGGCCTTATCAGGATGACACTCTTGTTGTATCTACGGAGTTGATGTACAGAATACCTAGGCAGATGTATATTTCACATGTTAACAGCCTACTATTTTTCTTGCCCTTTAAATGGATCTCATGGATCCAGACACACTCTAGATGATAACTTAGAAAAATTATAAATGTTAAAATCTCTAGTCAAATGCAAGACTTTTGTTTCTTAAATGATTATGACTGGATACAAGAAGGAATGATAAAAGGAATACAGCCCTGTGCAGCATAGCTAACCATATAATTTGAAACTGAAGATAGGAAAAAAATCAAGTTTATTATTTTTATAATTAATTTTCTATATGTAGGGACAAATGTAATGCAGAAAAACCCCTATATATTTCCTTCATATAGAGAAAATCCACACAGAAGTTCATAAAGAGTATTCTATATTGGAAGAATCTTCCTGAAATTTTTCACGCTATGTCACATTTAGTTTACCATAAGGAGAATGTTAGGTGATGAATTAATGGGAAGAGCCAAGTACTTGCTTTTGATCCAACTGGATTGACATAAAACTCACTATGTATAACAAATGGAAAATTGTATGTAGTTTAATCTATGATTTTTTTCAGTGCTGCTGCTTGTCAGTGATTGTCACGTGTTTCAGGGTTCACACATCCTGACAGATAGTTTATAGATTTTAATAGTTAAGGAGATGACATTTCCTGTTGAATCTGTAAATTCTTCTGGAATGAATTTATAGCCCTCTTCTACCCTTCCAGCCAAAGGTCATTCCAAATGCTATATGTGGAATTTGTCTGAAGGGTAAGGAGTCCAACAAGAAAGGAAAACCTGAAGCTCTTATACATTGCTCCCAGTGTGACAACAGTGGTGAGTATCTACATCCACTAAGTCAATTCCTAAGGATCCAGATCTGTTTGTGGACATATTTAGTGTACTCCATATGTAGCAGGAGTTCAGTTGCCTTTTCTGTTCTTTGTTACGACCCCATCTCTCTTTCATGTTCTCTGTGCTCACACTGTGGGATCTCACCAGGAGGTGAGCTAAGCTTCATGTTTGGTAAAAGCAAACAGTCTAACTAATTTTAAATTTCATTTCAGGCATAAAAATAATAATGCTGGTTTTAATCTAGGCCACCCTTCTTGCCTTGATATGACCCCGGAGCTTGTTGCTATGATTAAGACTTACCCTTGGCAATGTATGGAGTGTAAAACCTGCATTATATGTGGGCAGCCTCACCATGAAGAAGAAATGATGTTCTGTGATGTATGTGACCGTGGTTATCACACTTTTTGTGTGGGGCTTGATGCTATCCCTTCAGGTAATAAAGCAAGAGTTACTTGTTTCCTTCCCTCTTCCTCTTAAGTCCTGGGCTCATTCTCAGAATTAATACTTGAACTAATGAATTAATACATATTCTTTCGAAATAATAGTTTAAAACAAGTGTGAAGAATAAGAGGAAGAAACAAACAGTATAGGAAAACATTCACACTATAGGACCCAATTTTTTTACTAAGCTTTATTTCTGTATATTTGGTTGTGCACAGTTAAACGTCACATTTTCTGTGCAGGAAATATAATTGGCTTTTACAGCATAACCCAAACAGGCTCGCTCAGAACTATGTTTTCTCCATTTCCACAGAATACTGACAATAATTGCCTCTTTTCACTGAAGAAACCTGTAAAAGAAACTGTATTGCTGCATATTGCTAGAGTATAGCTTTCACATTAATTGTGCTGTTTTAGCTTCTAAATGAAATAGTTGTCTCAATTTAGTATTTGTAAATATCTCTTTAAACCCTTTCATTTCCTTTTTTATTCTTAAACATCAAAACTGCAACAGAAGTACCTCCATAGGTAGGCAGGCAAGCCAGCAGCTTTAAATTGCCAAGTCACTCATATCTTGTGGCCAGCTCAGGGCAGTAGAAAGAAAATAACAGGTGGTACCGTTGCTTTACATGTAGTTCCACATCCATGGTAAGTTCATGAATACGTATTCAGTGGCAGTGACAGTATTCCCTGGACAGTACTTAAAACACACTGTACTGCCCCATTTTGGGAAGCACTGGACCTAGCTGTCACAACTGTACAGGTTCTGTGGCTGATTTCACTTTGAGGCTGACCTAAGAATATAATCAAAATAGATTATATGTCTACAAAACTACAAAATTACCAAAGCAGCCATTGATTCCAGCTGTTGTAATAAAAAGTTAAATGCTTCCCCAGCTGCCATTGATTTCTGCTCTGGGTAACTTCACAACCTTGAACTGTAGTCATTCACCTGAAAATATGACGGGCAAACTCAAGCACTGTTTGTAAAACTCTTACGTAATAACCACCTCCTTGGAGTGCTGGCACTTCTTGAGGTCCATGAAGATTGGTGTAGCCAGTGGTTACACATAATGAATGTGAATTGTGTATGCTGCTTTATAGAAAGGATGCTTAATTTTAAAAGCATTTGTTGTTTGCATTAAAGGAAATACTGCAAATAGATAAGCATCTAACAGAATGGTGAAGGGCTGCCTAAATAGGTAAGAGAACAACAAACTTAGTTTCCCAATAATTGATAACTTTCTTTTCTTAGGTCGCTGGATTTGTGATTGTTGTCAGAAAGACCCTCCTGTACCCAGAAGAGGAGGAAGAAGGGGGAAAAACAGCAAGGAGGGCTAGGAAAGCCCTAAATACTTGCTGTCCAAAATTTAACTGCACAAATTAAAGTGATACTCTGGTGCTATTTAATCAACCACTCTATAAGAGGAGCAATACCACTTTTTTTTTCTTTTTACTAAATAAACTTTGTCTATATAGTGATTTTTGTGATACAAGTCACTACTGTCCTGTCAGATGTTGAGAGAGGCAAGCCAAATTACCACTCAAAAAAGAGAAGATTTTCAGTAATGAAATTTAAATTATAGATGCATTTGTATAAAATTATAGCAACATACTTGTTTATTTCAGTGCACTTATCAGTAAGCCCTGTGAAAAGAAAATTACAGAGCAATGTAATGTACTTTATTTGCATAGCAACTGGTTATTCTGAAATACTCAACCAAAGCAAAAAGTATTCCTGGTAAAAGTAACTTCTAAGGAAGAGTAGGCATGAGATGACCTTCTTACAATATACTGCAAATCCCTTTCAGCAGAAATTTTCTGCGCAAGCTAATGACTTATTCATAAATATGTGCTTGGAAAAAAAATCAATCACAAAAAGCTATCAAGGGAAGTGTAAGAAAGCACCTCTCAAGTTTGAGATACCTGAATGCTGTGTTGTTTTTAATGAGACGAGAATGACATATTGACAAGTAACAACAGCTGAAGGCTCCCTCTCCCTGCAGTAATAGCAAAGAAGCAACATGCACTTGATTCAGGTCATGGATTTGTAGTGGTGATGAGTGACTGGACCAACCTCTGTTTGACAGATGGCTGATGTGATGTAGAGCACATGCAGTCAGAATACAGACATCTATTCCCTTAGGTGATTGATTGTTTTCTCCTTCCTTCACCCTAAGCTCCTCAACTTCATGGATACACTCAAACACGTTGCTGATCAGTTTTACTGGAGATGCTTGCTCAGAAAAGAAGCAGGTTTTATTTTTAAATATGCTCTAAATTGAGAGGGGGACTGAAGTGCAGTAGTTTATTCATTTTTCTTTATAAAAAACAATAGAAAATACTGAATTGGAATTGATTTTCCTAAGCACCTATTTTAAGTGAATTTAACAAGATCCCAACTATACATTCATTTTTAAGCCCTGGTCTCTGAAGAGCACTGCAAATACTGTCCTGGCTGCTCATTTTACATATTGGGGAGGATTTTCAATATAAAATTAAATATGGCTTTTTCTCCCCACTTCCTTTCTGGTTTTGGAAATGTAACCTAAATATCTCTTCAGGAAACATAGTGAGTATTAAGTACAACAGCAAGTCATTCATACCAATTTCACAGGATGAAGTGTGACTTAAGTCCAGTGTGTATCAATTTAAAAAAGGATTTCAAGTATTAATTTCAAGATTCCAATAAGTATAGTCCAGAAAACAGACTCCTCATCCTGAGATTCATCTTCTGTAGACTGTGAGTATTTCTGGTTTGCCTCCATCTCCTCAGGGTTGTAAGAAGCCTCACCGAATGGGTACTGCACCACTGTTCGATCGTAGTACACCTTCATTTCAAACTCACTCTCCAGGTGAGAGGGGTGCCCATAAATCCCTATTCCCACAGGGCGGCGGAAGTGTGCGGGCACGTGCACGATGTCCTGGCCACAAGTCACAGACTGTAACTCGTACTCGTCAAAGCTGGGGTGCAGTGTCACGTCAGACACGTACAAGTCTGCGTCACCTTTTAAACTCCGCATCTGAAGAACGATCTTTCCCTCATGATTTAGTCTCAAATAACTGTAGTTTCCTGCTCCAATCTGACCTTGGACAACATGCAGAAGAATCCATTCCTCTGGTACATCCTCTTCTTCAAAGGCATTTATCACTAATAGTACTTGAGCTGTCACAAATACTGTCAGGATTCTTCTCCAGTGTGTTGCCATGGTCTTCAGTTGTTTTTGGATTCTTCCTGTGTCCGTGTTCTACCCTATGAATACAAAGCAAAATTCAAGTTTTAGTATATTCCCTTGTGGAAACTAATCTACTTTTTAAAATTAGGTCATTCTTATAAATCTTCCCTAGTCCATACAAATTTAACTTCAATTGTGTTCATGTATTTTTTAATAGTCACAGAAACCAGTGCTAAGATTCAGAACTTTGTCACAATAAAATGGCTTACATTTTCAAAAATTAAACAGAAATTAATCAAGCCAGTATTCTTTCAACAGAACTGACATAAACACTTTAGTTTCATTCTAGCTGTATGCATGCCAAACTTGACAGATACCCAGGAGGGATGAAACCCAATAATGATTTTAGCTTCACTTTAAAAAACCAAAAAAACAATTAAGGAGAGGAAGGCTTTTGCATACTTGAAGATGCTTAACTTTGTAGGAGGCGCTTAAGGCATCCTATTTGTTCTCCCGTCCTCGTCCTCTCAACTTCAAAAGACAGTAAAGGTGCAAATCTGGATGTGGACTTGAAGCAGTCGGCATTCCAGCTTTCATTGGGATGGAGTTAGAAATAAAAACAAATTATCTAATGAGGTAATACATTAATTCATGATCTTGATGTATGGCTTATTTCTAGAAACAAATTTGGCACACTTTCCCTGAAAAAGATGCATTTACTTTCAGGAAGGTTTTGTTAGAGTATAGATGCTCAGCTCTTTACAGCACTTGGGTAGAAAAGATAAAGCTGAAGGTACCAGGACAAGGGGAAAATGGAAAGGACTGCTGCAAGATCAAGGCTCTTACAGCCTATTCCCTCCTTGCTGCATACTCCCAGTCGAGCAGCTTGAGTATGCCTGCCACACTCCAGTCCTCTGAACAGCTGCACTAAGTCACCGTGTGCAAAGCAGCAATTTCCAAACCTTGCTGAAGGCTTCCAAAGCGTACAGCTGACTGAATTTGACATGCAAATCACAGGAGCCACAAGCCTGAACAACTTTGTGTTCAAGAGGAAGGTTCTCAGCCCCTAATTCCTTCCATAAGGACTACAATTTCCTGAAACCAGAAAGTTGCCTGTAACTCGTTTTGTACCCTGCTAGCACCAAAACAAACTGCATTACCTCCACTGAGATGTCACTTAAATGTTAAAAGTTCTACAACTGAACGGATCCAGGGCAGAAAAACATTAGAAAAAAATGCCCGTTTCTGTAGTTTGACGTTTTCTGTCCCAGAGGCCTCTCTACTGCAAGGTCAAAATTCTGCACAGACAGCATAAAAGAACGAGGTGCAGCATGTGCCGAACCTGCCAGACTGACAGAACTCCCTCAACAACCACAGGAAAAAAAACAGTCTCTTGTCTCGACCGTAGGAGGGAGCTGACTCTGTCACTTGTCCATCGAAGTAGTGATGAAAAAGCCGAGCGGAGCCACAGGAGGAGCTCCACATCTGACCAGAAAATAATTAAAGTTATCTAGGAAAGAACGAAAGCGTCGTGACGCTGGCACAGCGCTCGGGAGGAGAAGCGATTCCAAGAGACCTTGGACAGAGCCACGAACGAGGAGTTCTGCCCGCCCCGGTTCGCCCCCGCCTCTCTGCGGGCGGGACCCCCGCCGGGGGCGGCGGCGGCGGCTCCGGGGCAAGCGGGCCGCTCCCGCCGGGTGGCCGCGTCGGGCCGGCGTCACCCCGCCGGCCGGGGGCTGGGGCTCGGCTCACCTCCGACCTGCCGCGGGGCTCCGGCTCCGGCAAGGCCGCAACAACGGCGAGGAAGAGCAGCGGGGACTCGCGGACGTGCGGCAGCGCAGCGCGGCCGGGGCGCCGCGGGAAAGCCCCTCTCCGGGGCGGGCCCCGGAGCAGCGCGGCGGCCGAGAGGAGCTGGCGCCGAGGAGCCGACACGCGGGGCGGAACGGCGCTCCCTCGGCGCGCCCCGGGAGCCGCTCGGTGCGGCCGGCAGAGCCCGGCCCGCGGCGGGAGTCGCTGGGGGCGGGTGGAGGCGCCGCCCCCGAACGCCGCCCGTACCGCCGGGCGCTCCCGCCCCGCCCCGGGCACGGCCACGCCCCCGGTATCGCGAGAGCGCGGCTGAGGGGCGGGCCTGGGGAGGGCGGGGAGGCACCGAGGCACCGAGGGCGGAACGGGGAGAGCTCGGTGCGCCGTGGGAAGCGCTTTCCGCCGCGGAAGCCTGACATTAGAGAAGGTGTCCTTCAACTGTACTGAGATTGGAATTTGGGGGATAGGTGTCCCTTTGTGGGTCAGTGACAGTTCATTTGACTGTCGGCATAAACCTGACCTAAGATCACAGAACAGAAAAGCAGTATGACAGAGAGAAAATATACCAAACACCGTTATTGAATACACCTTGATTTCAACAGTTACCTTGGCGTGGCTGAGCTGCTTAAAATCATAAGCAAGAGTGAAAGTTTGAAAGAAACAAAAATCTACATGATGTGCCTTGTGTACTGAGAGATTCAAGAGAGCCTGCGTATGTACCCCAGGGCCCTGTGCTAACTGAGCTAATGTTCTATCTTCAAAGCCCTCTAATTTCACAAACCCATGTAACTTGTTCTCTTCATTCCTAGCTCAAACAAACTGGCTGCATAAGACTGCCAAATGCACGTTCTGATAAATTTTAGCTTTTTTGAAATCAGTTTTGTTTGTATAAAGACTTTTATTCTGCTTAAAACATTAATATAGTTGCTAGACCTCATTTTTAAAGTTCTTCTGATTGAGTATTGAGACCACTACAAATATACTATTGGACACAAAAGCATGATATGATAAAGGAACTGTTATTTCCAGCAGTCTTTCATTTTCCACATAGATGTCAATTTCACTGGAGGTGCTGGAGTGAGTCCAGAGAAGGAAAATGGAGCTGGTGAAGGATCTGGAACACTTGTCCTATAGGGAGCAGCTGGGGAAGCTGGCATTGTTTATCCTGGAGGAGGCTCAGGGGAGACCTTATCACTGTCTACAACCATGTGGAAGGATGGAAGGAGGCTGTAGCCAGGTTGGGGTTGGTCTTTTCCCCAAGACAACAAACAGCCAGACAAGAGGTAGTGGCCTCAAGGTTTGCCATGGGAGGTATAGATTGGTCACCAGGAAAAATTCTTCACAGAAGGGGTGATTAGACACTGGAATGGGCTGCCCAGGGAGGTGCTGGAGTCACTGTCATATATATATATATATAGTATATACTGTATCATGAAGGGCTGAATATGGCACTTACTGCCATGGTCTAGTTGATATGGTGGTGTTCAGCCATAGGTTGGACTCAGTAATTTCACAAGACTTTTCCAAGCTAATTGGTTCTGTGATTCTGTGATTTGAGATAGGTGGGTACCCAAGGTGTGGGAATATGTGGAGCCAAGGAAATAAAAATAAAAAATAATTGTCAGAGGTGTTTCATGGAGGTGTGGTCAGGTATAAAATTCTTCCTGCACATTTACATGTCAATAATGATCAGTCAAGAAATCAGAATCCAAGTTCTCCAATACTTCTTTGGATTGCTACTAATTGTTATGGATAGTGGATTGTTGAAAGTATCATAGGTATAAACATTGAAAGGTGAAAATAAAGTCAAGTGAAAATTGTAAAAAAGAGTACTTTACTGCCTAGAAGCAGTTACAGAGACACAACATGTTTCAGAACAAGTTATTTCAGATTCCCAGGGGTTGTTTGCATGTCAGAACAACACCCGTTTTGCAATGTCAGCATTTATTTTTCTTTACCAATGACTAAACTGTCATAACGCATTCATGACTCTATCGGTTGTGAAAATTGTCACCAGCATATTAACAATAAAGTTTTCTCTAATATTCCCAGGCATGAGTCACAGTTCAGAAAAACAGTGTCATGTGCAGTGCACTGAGTTGCCTCTGTGCAGCTGGTTCTCAATACAGTGGATTTATCCAAATTCACATGCACACACTAAAGGGAATTTGGACTGGTACTTTCTCCAGGCAAAACTAACAGGGGGACTATGTTGTCAGTGATAATATATTTCAGATACTTATATAGGGCAAAAACGCTTGTACTGTTAATTACAGACAGACCCAATTAAGAAATCCCTATTGAAAGTATCTGTTTGAAAAGAATCTGAGGTTGATATTGACTGATCTGCATCAAAATGGTTTAAGTTGATGCAGATCCAACACTTGGTCATAAAATCATAACTCAGGTTGAAAGGGACTTCTGGACTCCTCCTGTCCACCTTCCTGTTCAAGTTGAGTTGCTCTGGGTCATGTCCATTTGACTGCTGGACAACACCAGATATAGAGATCCACAACCTCTCTTCAGAAACTTGTTCTCATATTCAACCACTGTCATGACATTTTAAAAAATTAAATACTGATTTGGTATGACCCTAATTGGGTTTTCCCAGGATCCAGTTTATCACTGAGTGCCTCTGAGAAAAGGCTGTCTTTCCTGTATCCTCCAATTTTGTAGTTGTAGGCAACAATAAAGTCTCAGCTGTCTCTTCTCCAGGCTCTCTCAGCCTTCCTGTGTACATCATTTTCTCCAGCTCCCTGACAATCTTTCTTGCTCTATACTAGAATTGCTCCAGTATGTCAGGATCTTTCTTGTACCAAAACCCCCAAAACTGGACACAGCACTGCAGGCATGGCCAAATAGAGGGGAAGGATCACTCCCACAACTTGCTGGCTACTCTCTATTACTAACACAGCCCAGGATGAAGTTACCTGCCTCTGCTGCAAGGGCACCATGGTGCCTCACATTCAGCTTGTCCAGCAGGATGTCTGGATCCTTTTCTGGAGAGTCCCTTCATCCTTCAGCATTTCATCTTACATGGCGTTACTCTGTGCCAGTTACTCTTGTTGGACTCCACGAAATTCTTGTCAGCTTGTTTCTGACTGCTCCCTCCAAATTGGCATCATCCACAAACTTGGGGAAAATAGGAGGTTTGTTTTGCTTGGTGCCTCACTCACTTATGAATCCCAACACCTCACCACCTGCATTGTAAAAAATATGCCCCCTCTGTCCAATCCAAATCAACCCCCTCTTAGTTTAATGTTTTTGCCCTTTATCCTGACACTACAGATCTTGGTAAAAAGTTTATCTCTGTCTTTCTTATATGGTCACTTTGTATATTCACAGGGTACTGTAAGGTGCCCCTAGAGCCTTCTCTTTTCCAGGCTGAAAAGTTCCTCCTCACTCTGAGGAAGAACCGTGCAAGTGACCTCCACTGGAACAGATTGCCCAGAGAGGTTGTGGAATTTCTACCAAGATATGAATGTGGAGATACTCAACAATTGTCTGGACGCAATCCTGTGCCATGTGCTTTAGAATGACTCTGCTTGAGCAGGGAAATTGACCCAGATGATGCACCATGGTCTCTTTCCAATCTGACCCATTCTGACTCTCTGATTCTGTGAAGAGCCCAAATTTCTCTTCTTTTCTTTTCAGGAGAGATGTTCACCTCTTCCTTAAGGTCCCGCTCCAATGTCTGTGTTGTGCTGGGTTCCCCAGCGCTGGGCGCAGTGCTCCAGCTGGCGTCCCATGAATGGGACACGGGTGGGACACTACTGGACCTTCGGGCCATGCTGCTGGTCATCATGCCCTGGACATCTCTGTGGAGAGCCAGGAAGCAGCCCCGGGGCCCGTTGCCCCGGTGAGGGGACAGCGGCTGCCGCCGCGGGCCCGCCACGCTCTGCAGGCGACCGAGGGCTGTCCCGCGCGGCCTCCCGTCAGCGGCGGCGCTGCCCTGGTTACGGGCCGGGCCGGGCGCGCCGGGGCCGGGGCCGGGGCAGGAGCGGGAGCCGGGGCAGGGACAGGGACAGGGACAGCGGCTGGGGCCGGAGCTCTCCGCCTTCCAGCGGGAGGGAGCCCCGAGCGGGGCCGTGAGCCGTGGGCCCCCGGGGTCAGGACGCAGCCGGCGGGGGCAGGCGGCCCCGGTGATCCGGCTCCGCCGCGGGGCCGTTCGCAGCCGCAGGATGGAGGGCGCCGGGGCCGGCTGCGCCTCTGGAGGAAGCCGCGATCCTGACGTTGTCTGCGAAAAGCACTTGTTCAAAGGCAAACTGCCGGAGCCGCTCTTTCAGCTGGCGTGCAGTCACCATCACTGCGCTTTCCCCGTGAGCCGCAATGGGTTGTGCGTCTGGAACACAGCCACTGCTCAGGTAAAGCTAGAATAGAGCCCTCAGTAGGCTGCTACTTTAAACTAGTTTATAAATGAAATATTTGAAGGTAATGTAGAAGTGTCAGTTTTCACTTCGATGCTGGAAGGCTACTAGCATTTTTATGAACTTTTTTATTGTGAAAAGAATAAAATTAGCTGTTGTGGTGGGTTGGCCCTGGCTGGCAGCTAAACCAGTACCCAGGCTCCTGCTGACTCCTTCCCAGCAGGGGGGTAGGGAAGAGCATAGGATGGGAAGAAGTGAGAAGTCACAGGTAGTTTCAAAGGTAGTTTAATGAGTGAAGGGAAAAGAGAGGAAAAAGCTATACCAAGGCACCCCCTCCAACCAGACTAAGCCCAGCCCAGGCTTTGAGCAACAGCCACCTTACAGTCAATGTACCAGGCCCTCAACACCTTCTTGCATGCAATAGCCCAGTTCTATTGCTGAGTATAACTTCATATGGTAGAGAATATCCCCTTGCCAGTTCAGCAAACTGAAATAGTTGTTCCAGCTGTGTCCCCTCACAACCTCTTATGCATCTTCAGTTTGTTATTGTGATGCGGAAACTGAGAAAATGTGGAGAAAAAGAGAAGACCTCAGTGCTGTGCAAACAGCATTTGGCAACAGCCAAAACATTCCTGTGTTATCATCACTGTTTTTGTCACAAAATCTAAAGCATTGTGCCATGCAAGCTGCTATGAAAATAATTAACTCCATCCCAGCCAAACCAGTATAGCTACATTGTAGTTTAG